TTTGCTGGGCATATTGGATAGTGCTGTGGTGAGGTTTTCATGATGAATCAAGCTTATCTCGAACTGGGCCTTCTTATCGGGACGATCAAAACTGGGGAACGCACGCCTGGCGTCAATCGGAGAGAATTGCGTGCTCACCAACCATCTAGGAATCAACCAACAGAAAAATGAATCATACATTCAAAACAAGAGCGCAGTTAATCTTTGACGTCGTTTACAAACGACAACACAAGCGACATACACACAGACATTGTGTTGACCTACGAAGAGTGTTCAAAGAAAAAAGTGAGCGAAACATGCACATGCACGCTCCGTGCAGCTCATCGTAAGTGTGAAGAGTATAACGAAAAAACAGCGACTCTGTGTGTGCAGAATCACTATTGTGTATTTATGCGTTTCGTTGAACACAACGCGCGAAAATTATCTGTTATTTTTATGCGATATTTTTATCCCATATGAATAAAAATATCCCATAGTAATCTCTGGTTTTCGTAATGTGATCATCTTTCGATTAAAGATTTAAAACTTTAGATAAAATTAATAATAATCGCTAGAGAAATATCACGCTTAGATTATTTCCAATATTTCAAAAAATTTCAGAATCTAAGAATCTGTCGTATGAAATATGGTGGATACTTGTGAATTCGGCGGAATATTGTGAATTTTTGTGATTATGAATGATATTTAAATGTATTTATTTGAATTTAATGCAAAAAATCTCAAATATCTCCAAAATCCACAAAAATCTGATTTATTTATTCGAAATATTCGAAAATATGTCATACAATTGATGTTTATTTCAAATATCTCACAAGATGCAGGAGCGTGATATCCCCCTAGAATAATCGCACACTCACACGGAAACCCACTTGAAGAATGACAGAGACGAATTTGCATCGTATGACTAACTCAACCTATGCTTTTGGCCGGCACAAGATAGCGGTGGCGCCTAAATAAGATGTATTAGCAATTTGCGGCATTTTTAAGAACTATCAATACTTTTTGTTGTTGTCACGAATTTCGCAACAATAAGAAGTATTGATAGTTCCTAAAGTTGCCGCAGATTCTATTTAGGCGCCACCGCTATTCACTGTCACGTCAAATACATTGGTTCTTATGGCAGAGAATCACACGTTGGACTAACTAAGTGTGAATAGAATCAATTGCTTACTTTTTGTCCGTAGTGTCGATGTCATGGTATCCAACGCGATAGAATCCTTGCAGTGTATTCGATAGCTGGCTGATGAATTTTATGTCCACTTGCAGTGTTGTGTTTCTCGGCGTCTCCAGAAGCTCGATGACATATGTTTCGTTATTATCACCATATTTTTTCTTTATTTCAAGCGGCCATGTAAGTGTTGCATTACTTTCAAACACTGTGAAAATATGATATCATTGTAATGTAACGTAAAGTCCAGAACCATCTGATCAAAATGAGTTATAACAATGGCCACTGAGCCCGAGCACTCACCTTGAGCCTTAGTAATCGTGATATTGTTAATGTCTAAAACGATGTTTGGCCAATCTTCTACATTGTCGTCTTTCACAATGTCGATCTCAACATGACCATAGCTAATGCCGTTTTCCAACTCCGGCCCCATAACCAATCTGTAAATGGATAAATATGCTTAATTCTGAACATTCCGATGGATTTGCGTTATACCAATGAAAATTGATTGACTTCTATGCCAACAATATCGACAAAGGGTTCGCCTAGAATAAATTCTATTTTCAGATGATGGAGAAACAGAAATTGAATCTAAGTTAATCTGGGTAAATGAAGAAGATTCGTTGTAGAAAATAATTCGAAACGAGACGACCACCACCAAAAACAACAACTACAAATATGGCAGAATCGAAACCGCTTTGAAGTTGCTCGTCTTGAGTACGAAATCAATGAATGAAGTATTTTCATTCTAACTACAAATGCATTGAAGTTAATGCTAAAGGCGCCGGTAAAAAGATTGTGATATCTAGAGATATATTTCGACTTACCTATAGATTGTTGGGCTCCAGCCTTCATTCAATTGTATCGATCTTGGCTTTGGAGGTTTTGCAGTTAATGGAATCGGTGTAGTTATCTCATTAGTTGGATTTTCATGCAGAGGCACCAAATTCGCACCACTAAAATTCAAAATGAAAATGATACAGAAAAATAGTTTTATAATTCTTTTTGAAGCGTTCCGACTTGAGATAATAAGAACAAACTCCAACGCTGTCCATTTTATTTCTTTGCTTTTATTTTTATCTCTTTGCATTGGAATGTGAAGTTTTCGTCATTTTTCTAGGGTGGCGTATGAGTGTAGGACCGTGATATATTTTATAATTTTCCACATATTTTTTTTTAAATTTTGCTTAATTCTATTTTTTACTTTCTTACCTTACTGCGAATAAAAAGATTATCAGATTGGTGCTTGTCAACATGGTGAAGAAAATGAAGACAACAATCAGAATGGTGTTATGTGTTTTGATGGAAACGCCGTCTGTTCGTTGATAGTGATGTATCGTTGATTATTGGCCACCTATATACGCTTTAAGCTAAGCATAAAATTCGCCGAGCGTTATTCTATTTGAATTTAAGCTTACAGTTTTGGAATTTCATTTGTGATTTTAAATGATCAGAGTGAATTACAATATCACTTTGGTGGGTCAAACGCAAGTGACTCGATAAAAATTATCAGTAAAAATTCTAAATATATCATGCGAAACAATCAAGAGAGTGGGGATGGCTTATTTCATTGCGAAATTGTATTGAAACATTTAATGTGGTAGCGGATTTAAGTAAAATCCAGTTATATTGCTAATTTTCATTAATTTTTTGCGGTGTATCAATATTTTTTGAAAGTAAACAGAAATGAGAGAAAGAAAGTTTTAAAATTTCGCACAGAAACAAATTAACACACGCGATGATGAGATTTACATATGATTAGGTCTGTGGTACGTGCATAAATAAAATGTGCAATCCAACACGTTTTATCTTCCTCTCGTATAAAATTTGCTTCTTCCAATCGAAGATTAAATTATTTTGAGATTCTTTTCGACATTTTTTCGTTGTCAATTCATTTCACCCACTTTGATTGAGTCAACTGTAAATCCAGTTTTGGCACTGAAACATTTATGCAAAAGCGCTTACCACAACTTTAAATTTATGAACACACGTCACTAAGTATCAACGGAAATTCTTGAAATATTAATTTTGGGTGAGTTTTGCTGAGACGTTGCTACAATCCAAGCAAACTCAAAACTCAGACTGAATCGAAAACAGAAACATTATTACGTTTTCGTTTACATTTTTACGTCAATATGACGTCTTATCAGTCTTATGTATGAGCATGCATGCGGCTCTTCACAGAGACCTTGTGTAGGCGCGGCTGCCGTAATGAAGTTGCAGTCCACTCATCGGGAGGTATGCAACTCAGTGATATCACATTGTTTGATATGGCACATACTAGGGGGAAAAATCATTTTTTTTCATCTTTTATAATAACTTAGAAATTCAATGGTATGCATGTAAATCCGAAATATCCATGTATATTCAACAATATTCATCGTGAACGACAAATGAATATTACTGAATATACATAGATATGCCAAATTTACGTGTATACGTATGAAAAATAAAAATAATAGTGAATCAATCCTTCAACCGTAAATTTGAACGATTTTGGTAGATAACGGTGAATATTGGAACATTTTTTGACATTACAGTCTAATGAATATTATTAAATATACATAGATATTTGAGATTGACGTGCATACCAGTAAATTTGTGCAGATTGTATCGTCAAAAAATGTTCCAATATTCATCGTTATCCACCAAAAACCTTCCAAAGTGGTTCAAATTTACGGTTGAAGGTTTAATTCACTATTATTTTTATTTTTTCAGAGTTATTTGCGTTCTGCAAAATCGCGTGAAGCCCCTAGGGCACATAGCAACATGAATTCCATTTGCAAATTATCTATGCATATGCACAATGAGAAACACGTTTCTCGGTGTGAACACCATAAAATAAATATTTTTATGCCCGATGAAGATTTTTTTATTGTTTTCTGTTTTATCCTTGTGTCAGTAAATATATTCGCTCATAGGAAAGTATTTCTCAAGAAAAAATATTTGTCACCTATTTTGATCTGCGATCCACAGACTGCGTTCAGTAGTGATATTGATCCAAGTAAAAAATTTGTATAGTTATTTTATTTCATTGCATTTGAGATGGTGAAAATTGATTTAGTTAAGCAAAAATAATAATAACAAAAGTCCAAATTGATTAAATTTTGCCGAAAAAAACGCTACAAGCGTTTAGAAAAAATCAACGATTTTGCCAAACATGATACGTGCGCATGAAATTGATAAGCCGAGATTGGTTATAGTTTCTTAGAAATGTGGGAATAATTTATTTTAAAACGAAATGACAAAATGAGATACCAATTGAAATCATTCAAACTTATCGGAATATAGTATCCGCAACATCCGACAGCTTATTCAGGCAGTGTAACAATTGTTTTTTGCGGCCTTAAAATGCAAATTGTGAATGCCAGTTCAATTCCACGGCATTAGTTTGGCGGAAGTAGAATCCCAGGAGGCTGGTGACAGTGATAATAATCTTTATCAGAAACCTATAACTCTTTAGATATTCGTTTTGCGAAATAAATTCTCGAGGGAAAACCAAAGAATTGACAGTAACAACAGTAATGTTTTTCAGTGACGCATTTAAATTAAACGCAAAATATGGGAAACTTTCGTTTCTGATCTGTAACATTCCGAAACACCATTTATTTTATCAAAACACGAGAGATTTCAATTCTTCTGATGAATAGATTTAGAAGAAAAATCAAAGCAAAACACATGGTTATGTGTACATATGAAATTTGACGGGCAATTCACATGAACTGGTGAATGGGTTTCACAGTTATTCATTTCGTGGACGTGATTTGATAAGACAAACGAAACCAAACCTATTAAGAAGAAAAAATTTGGTGAATGATAGAGTTCAACATGGTTTGTTTTTGTTCTTGTTCTTTTTTTTATTTTTAAATAGAATCTCACAAAATCTTTATTTCAACATGCGGAAACGATCGTTTCATAATACATATATATCAATATACATGCCGACGACATTTTCTATACTCTTAAGTCTTGACCTCTTCGGTAACATTGCAGGTTCAACTAATTATTTTTATTGTTCTTTTTCAGATTAACAAACGATAATGATTCGATTGAATCGAATCAAATGCTATGCTTTTCATCAAAAATACGATATTGCTGAAGAGGTCACGACTCTGAGTCTCAGACGCTAAAAAATGCCCTCTACATCTTGTTTTTTTTTGCATTTTTAAAATACATATACATTTTATTTCATATCATCTTTGTTTATCTAATGTTAAAATTATTTTTAAGCGTCCATTCCTATTCTCGTTCAATATACATCGAATTATGTGTGTAAAATGATTCGTAAAACAGATTTTATCACTCAACTAAGTATTCGTATTTGAAAACCAAAGTGAAACAAAGTGTTTTGCGTTGAAACAAAAAAAAAAAAACATATATGAGAAATGTAAATTAATCTAGTGAACAAATTAAAGAAGTAGATACCACATTCTCTTCAATATAAACAGTGAATGGTCATATGGATTCTCAATTTAAATGTAAAACAAATGGCGATTTAATTTCGATGACACCCAAAAATTCGATGACAAAAATGTTATTGAACTTCGTCGTGCCACCAAAATTGGGGTAAATCTAATGAAATGAAATTACTATTTATTATATAGTGTCCTGGTGAGGAGACAATAAACAGCGCCTCGTTGTTTGTTTCAAATGGCTGAAGATCATGATGCAATTTCTTAAATAGCATTATTTTTTTGTCGCGATAAATATGCATGTCGTCAATTAAATTCGTTGTGTATGCGTTTCGTTCTGTTGTGCACGACGAATCCAAAGTATCTCTGCTACAGAATCAAACAGAAAATGTCAATCATTTCCATTTTTTTTATTCGTGTTCTAAATCCCACGCGAAGAACATGCGCTTCATTTTAATTCGTCACTAAAACGCAACTGAATTGTTTCTAATTTTCCATTGTTTCAAATATTTGGTTTGAAAAGGAAAATGAAAATGTTTGCAATTTTGGATTTGTTTCTGTGGCTGACACCTCGGATGCGGCACGGCACATGTAAGAAAAAATAAATTATATTTCGTATATATGTCAAAGGTAGTAACCATTTTGTCTGGTGCAAGGTAAACTGTTGTATTATCGCTAATGATGGCATGAATCTTTTTCACAATAAATTGATGTCCACTTCGGCGTCCCTACACTTTGTTATCACGATCAAAATATGTACTTTCCACATTCATCTACATTTTGGTTATAAGTATAGCATTTGTTTCCAGCCAGCGAAATTGATTTTCGTCTCGGCCAACACTGAATTGTTCACAATGATAGTAAAATTAACCAAAAGCAAAGCTGGACAAATCTTTTTAGAAAGTAGTCTACTGGTTTTGGCTTTTTATTCGAAAATGTCTTTCTTTCGTTTCGCTTCAAGTGTTTAAATTTCCAATTCCAAAACTAATTAATGCTTTTTAGGATAGATTGATGTGAAGATCATGTGTTAGTGATGTCAAGAACATTTGTAATTTATAGTAGGAACGTGATCGCCAATAAATATTATTCTCGACCTTTTTCTCGGATAAATGAATACTGTCTCCGATGGATTTGAGACCGAGTTTTTCAGCCTTGGTTTTAAATAGTTTCAATTGCTCGAGATGATAGTCTTTGTTCATGAATTTCGTGGTTGAATCAACCATCTTCGAGAGTGTTGAGAAACCATCACCGAAATATTCGCTAATTTCTTTAATGTTTGACATTAAAAATTCGAACGCTATTTCAAAACCGAGACTATTTTTGGCAACAGCCGTGAACGCACGTCGACCATCCTGCTTCCGAATTCCTGACGATGATGTAATCGTCATGTTCAAATATCTGCAGAAAAAAAAGAGAGTTCAATTGAGTATTTCGAACTTTTTTTCGATTTGATAGTTATTTTCTACATACTTTGACAGAAGCCATGGTTTTGTTGTGCATCCAAGAGCGTCCAAAATGATTTCTTTCTCGGAAGCGCTGGTCGTTTCTAAGTATCGGTTATACGCGAAATACCATTCTTGGAAGGAACCTTCACGTAAAGCCGTGCAGTAAACAATTCCCTTTAGATTTGGATTAATCCTAAATACCAAAGTTAAATGAACGTGAGTTTTATTGTTCAATCAAATTTAGAAGGGAATGCAATTATTTTAACTTACAAATTCTGTGTTTTGTCCCGCATCCATTCGCGATAAATGAGTTGAGCCCTGTTAACACACCAATCATGACTGAAGAAACATGCTTGATGAACGATAGTTGCTCGGTGCATAAGATCTACGTGTGATTCGTTTGGCTGCTCATCGAATTGCATCTCGTTATAAATTGGTCTGATGATGTAGCGCATGAGTGCCTAAAATTAAAACGAAATCCCTCGTTATTTTTATTGTTCTTTTTTCTTATTCATTTTTCACTCACTCTAAAGTGTTCATAAGCAGGTTCACGGCTTAGCATATTTGTGATAAATTTGATGCCAGATGTTGCGGCGGCCCATGGCAGAACGTCTTGTGCACGTAATTTCAATAAGAACGACAATGGGATATCGTACGAAACAATTTCGGCGCGTGCCAAATTCAATGAATCGTCGATTACTTGAGCGATTACAATTTCTGGTAAGTTGTCGTAATTGCGATGCAATGCAATCCATGACTTGTAATCATAATTGACACGATAGTAGCCAGAGCGTTGAACATTAAAGTAGAAATAATCGTCCGT